CACGAGCGGGCCCCGCGTTGACGGTTCAGTCACGGCAACCCGATCGCGGTCCATTCGGATTTATTCAATGGACCGTGACCGGAGAATAATGTCCGTCCGGATCGTGTGCCCTTAAACGCGACCAAGGGAACGCCGATGGCGAATCGTGGATCGAACACTTCCTCGAACCATCACCCCCTTGTTAACCCTTTGGACCCTTTCGAGTCGTGGGTAATTAATTTCTCGAGCATACTCGCCTCTTTTGCTTCGATTTTCTCGTTTTCATTCATATACACGTAAGAGCGAGGCTTTTGATTACGATCCGCTTGGATTTGGAAAGTGAGATCGAAGAAGTTGGAATTAGATCCAAATACTTTTAAGTATTTTTAATTTTTAAAAATTGAACGAATAGAACCATCGAAATCCGACTGATTTTCCTTAAAAAAAATTCTGTATAATGTTCGATTAATAATAATATATTATATATTATATATAATTATATATTATATATTATAATAATAGTTTGATTAATCGATCAGTTAAATATAATGTAACAACATTACTTGCTCAACATTAATTGCTCACGGAAAAACTAGTTAAAAATTTTCCAATTTTCCCAGCTCGTCAGTTCGCAGAGGAACGTACGAATCGAAACCGAAACTCGTCGAAATACGATGATCGGAATCGCGAATTCTAGGCTAGAACACCTCGGCCCGAGTTTCAATTTTTTCGGCGATAGAGGGCGGGCCGAGCGAGTCATCCTCTCTCTTCGATTGGCCGTCGGATGTACGGGCATTACCGCCGGCCAATTTATCGTTATTACCGTTGACCGGCATGAATATCGTTCAGGAGCTCCGGGTTATAGCCGTGAGGCAATCGAGCCTCGTGATCTGTCTCCCCCGTTTCGCTTCCCTCCCGCCGTTGCAACTCGCCGACTTGCACACACACACACACACACACACACCGTCGGCAAGCATTAACGCTCGAGTTACGCGGCCCCTATCTACATCGGAATAATTATTGCCGCGTCGGGCAGGACGCGAGTGCGCCACAACCCTCCCCTCCTCCTCCTCGCCTCCGATCCTGATCAACGAGCAACGAAACGCATCCTCAAGGACAGTGGAGGAACCCTCGAGACGTTCTTCCCCTCCCCCTTACCCTGTTAATTCGATATTTAATATCGATAATGTATTCCTTGGATAGAGAGGAATGGACAAAGATGATAGTTTATAATAGTAGAGGAGAATTTATCGTAATCGAACATAATAAATTACATAATAAGATCGTGAAATTCATTGATTCTCTCTTCCTCAAAAAAACCGACATTCATACAGACCGTCGAATTAACACGAGGTGCAAGAAAATAAAAAACTCTCTCTCTTTGGAGCGATAGTCTGTAGACAAACTTGCGAGTACTCTTTATTTTCCACTCCCTTTTCTCTTTTTTTTTTCCACTTTTTTCTCTTCCCAATAGAGACGACACATATCGGGGACGAAAGTTTCTGGTACTTGTACAAACTGCACCGTGCTACGTAGAACGTTTTCGACAGGGACTCGAGCAGGTATATACGAGGCGCGTATAGTATAGGCGGATAAGTAGGGATGGTTGGGTATATAACGGCGTCGTAACGCAGCAAAACTTACACGGAACTTTCGTTGGAGAGAAAGGGTGGGGGTAGGGGAGGGGGGGGGGAGGCGAAAAGAGCGGTGGAAACTCGGCTTCGACGGAAACACAACGTCGCTCGCGAGAGCATGGAAACGGGGCAGAAGGAGGAAGAAGTGCACGGGACGGGAGGGGGGAGGAAGGGAGGAGGGAGGGACGTGCACGTGTCGGCAAACGTTGAAGTGGAAACAGTCTGAACCGAGCGAGCGAGTTCTCTGGATCCTTCCTCAACTTCCCTCCGCTCACCCCTTTCGCCCCTCTACACGGAGGAAGGAGGGAAAACTTTATTCTTGGATTAAGTTCGTTTTCGACCGTATGGCCGTTGAGGGAATTATTCTTCGTTGGGAAGGTGTAAGGAAGGATGAGGCGATTGAGTTTGTAACTGTGGCTTGCTTGCTCGGTGGAATTATGGGCCGGCCTCTCGTGTTCGGGCGATGGGCAAAATTTAATAGTTGAAATTGAACGGATAAAGTTGCCTCGATAATTTATCGCTCGAAACATCGAGTAACCGGTAACTGGCATACGAATAATAGCTACGAACAAATGTTACTCGAGTTATAAGTAATTGCTTAACGATCGACGAAATATATTTTTGGTGGAAAATTGTGATAAATGGAAAAATGGACGAAATAAAGATGTACATAGCATACCGATAGTTTATGGTCGCGCGTGGCGCTACTGTCTCGATCACTGCCATCTTAAGTTTGACGGAATAACTAATCAGAAATTATCTTTGTCAATTTTCGGATCGGATTAAAGCAACGTTTCCTTAAGGAAATTTTTTTTCCAGAAATTATTATTCGTTATATTATAACCTTTATTCCCAATTTTCCGCAAAATTTGAATCGACATGGGACTTGTATTACTCCGGTAACTGCAAGCATCTCGAGTCTTCCCCCGTGTCGTGTTGTCTCAACACGCGCAAAACTTTCGTCGTAAAGGATGAGAATATACTCCGTGATACGAATGCTGGATCCTCTCAAGGTTTACCTCTCTTTAGAATAAAATTTTAATTTCCAGAATTCGTCAAACCGAAATTCTAACCAATAGCGATCATCTTTTCGACTCGTAAGATACGATGCAAAAATTTATGCAAAATCATATATTTTTTTTGCACACTTTTATAAACAAGTGCTCATACGTAATACATACGGATTATTCTATTTTACCTATCGAGTTCTATCTTTATCCCAAGGTTTGACC